CCGGAAATATTCCTCGCTCCATTCCTTAGTTTCTTCAAATAACTTTTTCGTCTTTTCACGATCCCGTCCACGAGCGAAACTATCAATCACCACATCTTTCCGATATAATTGTCCCTCTAAGTGCACACATTGCTCTAGGAGACGGTCACATTCCTTACATTCTGGTAAAGGTATAGGCACGGGTGCTTCTTCCATCTCCTTGATCTTGTCTCGGAGTCTTGCATTTTCCTTCAGTACTTCGGTCATTTGATCTTCTTTCACTTCCAACTCCATCCTAGCAACTTTGAATAGGTTTCCTAATTCCATGACCTTGGCCTTGTTCCTATTGTTGGCCATCTGAAATTTCAAAGTTTCTTGCCGATTCCTTTCTGCGTCAGTGAGGGCTATCTGATACTCTTCCGTAGACACAAAAAAGTCTTCATTTCTAGGTCGTTTCTTGGAACTAATTTCCCCCTCATACTCTTTCAGCTGACGGGCCAAGTCCCTTTTCTTTTCTGTTAAAAAATAGATTTCCATCTTTTTGTCTTCCAAGTTCTGGCGGAGGTCCCTATTTTCTAACTGTACTTGATAAAAGCGTTCTTTAGGCACATCGTGCAGCAACTCGGTGGGTTGAAGATACAAGGAAATCTCTTTTTCAAAAGGTAACATAAGAGTTTTGACTCTTTCCTTTAGCCAATTCACGTAAGGATCGAAAGCTAGTACTTCTTTTGGCCCAAAGAATTCCTTTCCTTTCTTTCCAATATGTGCCCAAGCAATCTCCACTTTTTTTAGCAATTCTGGGTCTTCTCCTTTTTTAAGAAACATAGGTTCAACCTCCTTGGTTGTGGGTGGACGCCTCATGGCATAACCTAATTGGCGAAGAGAGAGTACCGGATCGTAGTTGATAACCCCTCTTGTTCCCATGAGTGGAACATTAGAGAAACCTGCACAGTGGGAGATGACTTCGGAGCTATCCACCTTAAGTTTGTACCATTGAATGTCGAAAGAGGTGAGTGTCATCACTTTTGATGCCCATGAACGAGGATCTTCTTTGAATGGCCCTTTGGTGGGTAACTGCGCCATGAACCATTTGTAAAGTATTGGTATACAACATACCACTACTCCTTTCTTTCCGTGCCTGGAGTGGGTGGCGTGGTAAGTATCTGCTAATAGCGTAGGTATAGGATTCTTATTCATGAAGACGCACAGAGATGCCGAGTCCATGATTTCTTTAATCTTAGGTAATAAGACAACTCCGTAAATTATGGCGGCCAACAGAGCATAATAAGCATCCCAATTTCCCATATTCGACATTTCCTTAGCCTTACTTGCCAAGAAATCTGTAGGAAGACCGGAATTGACTTTGTTGCGTCTCCATTTTCCTTTTATGTCGTTAAGGCTCAAATAAAGAACCTTAGCAATAGCCTCAAAATCAGGTTCAATAGGGATTTGAACAAATGGAACATGTCCGGTGAGCTTAATGTGGAGAAGATGAGCATACTCCTCAAGAGTAGGTGCTAACTGGTAGTCTTGGAATGTGAAGCATCTCAACTCTGGATCATAAAATTGTAACAACGTCTGTACAGCCTTGTCGTTAACCCGAGCATCCAGCAAAGATAGGAGATTCCCATATCTTTCACCAAAAACGTCCATTTGTTTACAATTCATGAGGTCTCTGAGCTCTTCAAGAGAGGGCCAAGTACTAGGACAAAACTGATAGCTGAAGTTATCCCTCTTCGTCTTCGGGGTGACATCAGTGTTGTTCACCATTCTTTGGAGGAAAAGGAAACCCTGGATAGATACTGGAAATGACAATGCGTATGCGAATTAATTATTGATATATATATATATATATATATATATATATATATATATATATATATATATATATATATATATTGAAAGGTAAATATGCCATGATGTGTGTGCAAGTGATCATGGGGTTACTACTTCCATGATACTGATTTCTGTTGTACTGCCTCTTCGTATCCTTGTCAATACCGAGATTACAAGTCTGAAATGTAACTGGAAGAGGACCATGAAGATCAAAGATAAGTCCTCAGAAAATAAATCTGAGAACCTCATAACTGTTGGCAGAAATGCAGGACATAACCAAAAGTAATCGTCTGAATATAGTCACCAATTGTACCTGTAATGATAAATCCCTCCCCACTCACGTCTGAAGACTAGGTCAGGGTGAGATAATGGTAACTCGAAAATCACGGGTCCGCCTGAAAGTAAAATTATCGCAACACAGACGTGCATGATGAAAGTACTTTCAATTGAACCTCATCCGAGAGTGGTATATGACATGACTGCACTAATCAGACCACGTCCTATAGCCGTCATGCCCCCACTCTATTCCTAGTGTCCTAGTGCACTCTGGCATGGGTACTGGGCCTTTTACCTCAATAGTGACATACCCACCCAACATGGAAAACAGATTCCAGCATAATAGATAACAAATAGGGAAAGCAATAAAATGCAATGCAAACTTATGCTCAGACAAACATGTACAACTGAGTGAACTGAAAACATAAAAATAAACACCCAAATAAAAGAAAACAAGAGCTAGGATCGACTCCGGGATGGACCAGCATTTGGTCGACCTGTCCCCAGTGAAGTCGCCAGTTGAAACAACCGGCTGAAAATCATCAAAACAATGAAGTCGCCATCGAACTTCTTTTATCCCACGTGTAGGGAAAGGTAAACATCGAGTAAACCTGAAAAGGGTGAAATCAAGGTCGAACGACCAAGAGATAAGGGTAAGGGAGACTGTTACGCGAGGCGAAGGTATTAGCACCCCACACGCCCGTAGTACTCTACGGTATCCACTCTTGTTGTCTATCTTATGGGTGTGTTTAATCTATGTTTACTGTCTACTATATTACTAAAGGGAATGCATGCAAAAGAAAGGGGAAAAGAATGTAGGAAAAATAAAAGTTGTGCTCGCTTGGGCCCTACCCCAATGCCTACGTATCCGTTTTGAGGAATCAGAGTTGTCGTAGTTCGGCTTATGTTTTTGTTGATTTGTATTTTTTAATGAATAATATTAATTTCGCCTTCTGCCGCAACTCGACCTTTGGAGACTTACGCGTCAGCATAGAAGTGAATTAACATGCTCTTTCGGAAAAGGTTTGGAGAAAATGTGCCTGGGCGCACAAAAGTTTTGAATTTGTTTGTTTTTGACGAACAACATTAATTTCTCCTTCTGCCGCAACTCGACCTTTGGAGATTTACGCGTCAGTACAGAAGTGAATTAACATATTCTTTCTGAAAAAGAGTTTTGAAAGAAAGGAAGGCCCGAAGGCAAAAAGAGTTTGTATTGGTTGGTGTTTTTTGCTCGTAGATGACAACTATTTAATCTCAAGAGAGAGATTTTAGCCATTTCTCTACTTATTCATGAAATGAGTCTTTGAGACTTGAACCATACCAAAGCTTAGAATACGAGAATAATAAGGTCGAGAAGAAACCCGCTTATCATCTCTCAAACTTAGCCAAGACATGGTTCTTGTCAGTAAATTTCTTTTTTTGTATTTTTGAAGTTTGTAAAAAAGGAAATTTTTGTTATTATAAATGCATATGCGAAAAGGGAAAGAAAAGTTATAGGGAGACTAGCCTAAACCTGATTCTATCACACTTCATATGATCTATGGGACACGATAAATGCGAGGTAAAAAATAGAAAGAAAGTATACCAAACGGATACTAGCCCGTAGAGCAAAGCAGAAAAAGCAAAGATACTTGACGATCTCGTGAGCTGTTACCATCAACAAAGAAAAGAGTCAGAAATCCCATATTCGGAATGATTATTGAAGCATCTTTTAATGTGAAAATAAATCACAATCGGCATCTCGAGCGTATGCATATAAAAACCTGCATAAGACTCGAATCTTGACGAGCAAAGTGAATTACCAGTTTCGAGTAATCGAATAATCAGGAATTAATTCTTAAAGGCAAAATAATAATAAGTTCTCCTCTTTTTTTTTATTTAACCATTTGAAATAACCATTAAATAAATGAATAATAATAAAAGGAGAAAAGAAAAAAATTCCAAAACAACGGTGTTTACTGTAAACGGCCCCCTCCAGCTCCTTTACGCAGAAAGCCTTTCTTCGACATTCGAAAGCAAGAATGGCGATGCCGCCATGACTCCATCCCTTCTCCCATGTTCTGATTCAACTTTCTTGTTAACACCACTTAAAGTCTCCCTCTGAATACGACTCCTTTTCTTGCTTTCGTCAATTTCTCTTCCTCTATCCCGAATCTAACAACGAAACTTAAGCTCTACATTTCTTCCGATCAAGATTACATGGTGGATTTATCGTTCGCCGCATTTTACCCTTCGCGGTTATGGTACAGACCAAGCAAAAAAGTCATAAACAAAAGAAGATTGAGGGTTACCTATTGAAGACACGTTGGCGATAGGAGAAGAGCGGAAATGATGACAATTATGAAGATTATCGCAAGTTGAGATAAATGAACTTTGTATGATGAATCAGAGAGAAGTGAAGCTTTGAGAACTAACTGAAGGTCGAACAATGGAGAGTGGAGGTGCAGACGGAGTTTAGAGAGGGGAAATTGAAGATTATGAGAGTTCAGAAAAATTGAGAGTGAATGATGGAGAGGGAAGAAGTTGTTTTGAAGCTGATACAATGATGAAGTTTTGAAACTGGAAAAGAGAGAGTGACTTCCTCCCTTGAAACTTGTTGGGAGTTTGGATTATATAGGTACTTGAGGGCGATGGAAATGGTTAAGTGAGAATCAATCCAAACCATTGATTTGGGTAGAGTTTGTTAGGGATTGAAGGGTGAGATTGAGAGTTTGTTACAAGGTGGTTATGCTAGTTGGGAATTCCGTTTGGAGATTTTGTTGTGTATTGTTAAAACAGTTGACATTTTCTGTTGAAGTTTATTATGGAGGTTGTTAGTAAGTTGTTGGAATTTGGTTATGGGAATTAGTAATTCAGTTTGCGGGTTAATTTTGGAATAGGCTATTTAGAATTTTGTTTAGAAAATTCTGTTATGTATGTTGGTAGAAGCGATGATGTGGATCGTCTTGCACAGGAACAGCTGCGTCAGCTGAATTGTCTGAAGTGCTTCCATCAAATGAAGGCATGTCCATTGATGACATATCAGGCATGATGCGAAACATCGGATTCAATCTAGTAATTCTTTTGACAGTCTCTTCAGCCATCTGCACCTTTGCTCTCAAAGTTTCAACATCAGCTTGTCCACAAAGTCAATAAAATCCATGCACCCACTTTTCGTAAGAAAAATAGAAAATATCAGAGAAGACAAGCCAGTCCTGCCAGCAATTTATCTCTGAATTTGTTAATTTGGATAGTTCTACAATTCTATCAATAACTGCTTAACAAATCATCTCTGAAGAAAAAACAGCACCAGCAGTACTCCCTTGAAATGAAGGCCTATAGCAAGGAGCAAGTACCAGTACTCGTCTCCACCAATCAGGTGAAGGTGTGGTACGGAGAGCATGCCTGATGCAACGTACAACTCTTTCCAAGTCCAAACTTCCCTTCTGAATAGAGGTTGTAATATCCTCTCCTTGCAATGGTTTTCTAAGTACACTTAAATATGAGAGTGGCGATAGTCGCAGGTGCGGTATTGCTTCGTTTAAATTTGAAATAGTAGGTTTGGTCTGGTTTAGGATCCGATAAGTCCCAAATGTAGGGCAATGAAGATGCTGGTCTAACATTTGCATGTGCAGAGCCATCATGTCTCGTCTCCTGTGGATCTCCAAGATAAGTGTAAATAATGCTTCATCATCAGGTATATTTTCTATGAATTGAAAATCACTACGTAATAATTCATAAAAGGGAACCCGACATTTTCCCTCATCAACTAAAAGCCATATCACATCCAAGCAACTATGTAGCCAGGCAATTACAGTTTTGTCAAGTCTCCATGACTTCAGAATAACAGATTCATCAACTCCATGTTGTCTCTGGTTCCAATTCACCAGCCAATTGAGCATATGGTTGAAGATTCCGGCATATGTCACAGGTTTTAAACTGAACTCCAAACCAGTTAAAATGATTTTGCAACATAGCTGGCGAAGGTTACTGTTACTGATATCATTATTTTCAACAGACGGTCCACCTCTTAGTTTAGATTGTAATTGACTCGAGGAAATATCAGATGATGGCTCAATCGATGGCTATGCAGGGGAGCCAATAGTATGGACAGAATTCAATGGAGATGCAGGATTTGAAGACTAAAAATTAGAAGAATTAGTAATTGTATTTAGAGGAGGCAACATTCCTGATTGTGATAAGCTAGAAGAGGTAATTGTTGACACTGCTTGACTCATTTGATCAACCGGTAATTCTGCCGAAGAAACTGAAGAAAGAAGGGACGGAAGAAAGGCGTCCCAGTTAATGCACCAAATACCGCTCAAGCTTCGAAAAATAAAAATAAGAAAGTCTGATCGCGACCCATGACCACTACACTGTGCAACCAATGGTATAAGAACAGCTTCAACCATGAAACGTAATTGCTCATGGTCCGGAAACTGGCTCTGAAGTTTCTCAAAATCTAAAATGAATTGCTCATTTGGCGGTGGAAGCTCTCTGTTAATAGCATGCACGCGTTTTTGCGCTTTGTTCGGTGGTTCGCGGAGTGAGTCGTCGGGTTTGTTGTGGTTGTTTCTTCCATGTCCTACATAGAGTGAGGAGATCGAGAATCGGTATTCGAGCAGGGTGGAATTGAACAGAACGCGATGGTGGTGGTGGTGTTGTTAGTGATCGCTGATTCTGAGATTGATCCATTTTCACGGTTTCATTCAGTTACTTGGGGTTTTGTTATTGCAGTATTCTGTTTGTCTCTTGTTAGCATCCAAAAATTTATTCCAGCTTTCCTTAGTGTTTCTATTGTTTCAGGAACTCCATCCTGTAAGCGATCTTCTATCGCCGTAACACCAAGGATTTCCAAGTCATGTTCTATTCTTTGGCAGACCTCAGCTACTCTCCACTCCCTATCAACCAAAGTGCTACTAGCTTCTTTAAACATCGAAGACCAATCTTGATATTCATCTTTCTTTAACTCGCGCCAAACCAAACATAGTGTACGTAATCCCAAGTGAGCATATTGTTCCACAGCTTTAATGAAGTGACGAGTTTGCTGCCCAGCACGAGCATATGGAAGAATAGCCTCATCTGCTCCCTTTGACAGGAGAAGGATCTTTCCATTTTGGAAATCTTTCAACACTACTGACATTCTTTTCCTATCAGAAGTGAACTCTAAGATCCCCGGGACTTCATACTGAAGTATAGTAGTGTTGAACTTGGCTTCAAGAATGTTTCCACTTTTATTGACGAAAATCATATGCGACTGAGTAGCAGCTTGATCAAGAGCATCATCATCCTGAGACTGTGCCTTATACAAGATATCTCCAGTTTTGCTTCGTGTGGGTATGACAGTATTACATATTGCCATGTAAGAAATAGTACAGCATCAGGAGAACCACTGGAAACAGCATTAAGGAGCTCTACATCTTTCAATGCATCTCCGCTCTCATTTCCATAGAAAATTCCATTAATACAACATCTTCTGAATATCATCTTATTTTCAGTCAAGGTGCTTGTTTTGTCTGTCAAAATGTACTCTATTTGTCCAAGGTCCTCGCTTATCGCTGTATTTGTTGCATGAGATGGAATGCTAGTCTCTAGGTCAATCATTAGATGGTCCCAGTCAATAAACTTTGCATACAAGCTCTTCATGAAATCCAGAGATACCTTAATTGAAATGGGTATCATGATGGAACAAAGAAGCTCGAACCGCAAAGGAATTACCATAGTTTGGAACTATAATATGGGATGAACAAATAGATGGAACCAACATTTCCTGGTGCAACAGATTCACCGTTAACTCTCTCCCCAACTTCATTATCAACCTTCAAAAATTCAGTTAGTAAAAACCCTTTCATAAATTTTGACAATCATCTTTTGTACTTCCAATTATTAGACCTACTTTGAACAATTCTACTTCCTTAGGTAAAGCAAAATGCATACAATCACAACAACAATTTATCTATTGAGAGCACCGTGGCCGTCGTATATTCTAAAGAAATGGATTGTCTGCTAATTAACATCCTTGTTGTTAATTCTCTCATATTTTGTGTGGGTTGCAGTATGACTTAAAGGCGGGTCCATGGAGGATAAGGCTTGAAGAAAGGACGTGCAAGGTGGAGTCAAAGGAGACTTGGTAAAGAAAATGAAGAATGAAGATTAGATTGTAAGCTTAATGTGAAATTTGTAGAATTGGTCAAAAGTGTAATATCTTTCTATATTTTCCAGTATTGTAATGACAATTGAAATTGGATTTGGAGTGTAACTTTGATTCATATAGGAGAATATGACTTCTTTTAAAAAAAATGATAAAGTTTGAATTTCCCTCCATTATGCTTTAATTTGAATGAATCTTCAAGCATCTAATATTTTCTCCAATTTTCAATCTTGAACCTTGCTTTCATATATTGTATTTCATTTGGATTCTTCAATATTTCTCAGATGAGTTTTGTGATACTTGGTATCTTGGAGATGAAATATGACTTGAATCTTTCTTTCCCTCCAAAAGCTTCTTTTAACCTTTCAAATTTTGCTTCAAATTACATTCTTTAATATAACACATCATGAGGTCATATACTCTCAGTCAATCAAAGGAACTCAAGTAAGATATTGTCAAAATATTGGATGCAACTATGATCCAATACACCACGTTCACCTCAAAGCCTCGTGTGAGAACAAAAGACATGACTTGTATGGCCTAAGAAATATGACATCTTGATTCTCAAGCATCATATCTAATTGAACGAATTTATTTGAATCAATGATAATCAAAGATCAAATGGTAAAACGGGCACCAGTATATCCACATTTGTCTTCTGTATGAGGTTTCCGATCACCTAGGTTGTGACTTAAGTAATAAGCTCCCCCTTTTGACTTATAAAGAAAGGTCGAAAGAAAACCCTAGCTAGTCATTGGCAAAGAACCTTTGACTATTAGCCCTGCCAAATTCATTCAACAAACCCACGCATAGGGAAATAAACCCTAATCAAAGGATGACTTTGAGCATAAGGAGATAATGAATGCTTGATTTAGTAGCCCTTAGATGACCTTGTAGAACAGCTTGGAAATGAACGTGAGGATAAAGAGAGAAATATGACCAAGATGGCCACGACTTGATTGCGATGAAGAGAACGCCTCAAATGAAAACCAAATCAGATCTGAACACCAAGGATTAGAAACCCTAATATCGCACAACCACTGAACTTTGATCCTTAAGCACTTTATTGAATGCAAATTTATGTTAATGACCTAATGGAATATATACAGATGAATGCAAGAATCTAAGCCAAAATAGAAGAAATTTAGGAGGGCAAATTTTGGGGTGCAACAGTATGCCTTTGTATCGGGCATTACAACATCTATTAAAAGTAGAATTGATAACACTATGGGATCCTCCTAGGAATCCCAACACCTCCTCACCTAAGTACAATCTGAATGTGAAGTGCGCTTATCATTTTAAAAGTCTGAGGCGCAACACCAATAATTGTTGGTCCCTGAAGAACAAAATCCAGGATATGATCGACATGAAAGAGATTGAATTTGATCCTCCTTAGACCCCTAATGTGATCACTGGACCTATGCCCAGTCATAGTAAAGGTGTTAATGTTATCGATGATGTTTCTTATGTCTCCACCAAAAGTGACTTGACCACTCCCTTGATAATCGTTAAAAATATTCTGTTATAGGTTAGTTTATTTCTAGGTTATCTTGAAAGTTGTTACCATTGTGCTTCCCAATCTGATGGTTGTATGTGGCTGAAGAAGGGTATTCAACATTTGATTGATAGCCGTGAAATTTTGTTTGAGAAGACTCTGTTTGTGAAGAGTTTGCATAGAAGTATGTCTCAAGAGCTGAGACTTGAAGATGTTTCTATAATTATAATTTCTAATAATCCTATAAGGATCACCTCTAAAGGTCCTATAAGGATTCCTTCTGAGCCTAGGGTGGCTCCCCTGATCATTACTGCAATGGGGCCAGTCCCTATTCCTCTGACAAGGTTGTTCCCTGGAATTATGGACCTAAAGTTTATTACCATAGAGTTAATCAAGAACCATGGATTACCAAAGATGAAAATACTGAAGTTACCAACCTCAATGTCGGAACTAGTAAAGTTACCAAAACAAGAAGGGTATTCTCTCCTCCAAAGACTATCACAACACTTGTTCGTATCCCTGATATTGAGTCGACTACTGACACTCGGGGAAAAGAAAAGATTACTGAGCCTGCTCAGATGGAGGCACCATCAAAAGATGTTACTGTTGAAGATTCCTCCAAATAAGAGATAGAGGAAATACCGAAAATCATCCTTAAAAGTAACTACAATATCATTGAACAGTTGGGGCAGACGCCCTCCAAGATATCCATGTTATCCTTGTTATTATGCTATGAAGCCCATGCTCAGGCTTTGGTAATATTTTTGAAGGCTGCTCATGTACCACAAGAGACCTCTGCTGAATAGTTTGAGAATTGTGTTGCAAGCCTAACAGTTGATAATGGATTAGGCTTTTCTGATGCTGACTTAATACCAGCAGGAAAGAATCATAACAAGGCCATGCATGTCTCTATTGAGTGTAGGGAAACTACCTTGGTGCATGTGTTGGTAGATTCAGGTTCCTCATTAAATGTATTACCAAAAGGTTCTCTAGGTAGA